GTGCCGTTGGAAATATCTCTCCAAGGTATTTCCAACCATATCAAGAGCTGCTCCTAACTCATCCTGAGCTAGGAGTTATGACCGTTTGAAAATGGCCAAAACTCACTTTCTTAACTTAGACAATTTCCAGCTTTCCTTATTCTTTCCAAAAACCAAAATTTTCATATTTTAAACTCTTTATAGTCGTTTCTAGGTGCGAGATGTTACATAATTCTCTCTTATATATTTTTAAAAAAGTGAATATTTTCTCTCTCATATTTTCATCTTCCAATTCTTCTCCATTTCAAAGCCTGCCTCTCTCTGTTCCTTCTTGTTTTGTTTTTCTTTCAGAAATTAGAAAATATATTTTATAAAGATATTCACACAATCACTTTGATTAAGGTATGCATATTTATCCTATTTTTAAGTATTTTTTTATGATTTTATTTTGTTTTAATCGTTCAAAATTGTTGTCTATAGTTGAAATCATGTTTAGGGTTTGATAAGCTCTAAATCACTTTCCAATGGCAGAATCTAAGAGAATTACTAGAGGCATCCAACTTAATCAATAATTTTCTAGCGATTTTCCATCATTTAATCTACGTATTACTCAAGAAATAGCGGATAATGTAGGATTCGCTGCTAAAATGATGGAAGAGAGACAAATCGAAATATTGTTGTGGATATTTTGTTATTTTTGATAAAATACCACATATTTGGAATCACCCTTTTCTAGGTATGTACATTGGTATGTATTCAGTAAATTAAGGATATTTTTATACTTTAGATAGTGATGCTATTTCAGATTGTATTAATGAATTCTTATTGGATGGTTTCGCATTCATCATGGTGTATTTGTTGTATTTGTGTTGTGTGATTTTATAAGTTACTGTACTTATAGATTTTTGTATTCACTATGCTCTGTATATCATTTTCTAGTTATGGACATTGTAAGTAGTGTTGTTTGTATCCAATTAAGTAAAGATATATATTAACTTATACATTTGTATTCCTTTAAAACAAATAGTGATGATATTTCAAATTGTAATTCACTCCTTATTATTTGATTGTTTTGTATTCATTGTGGCATATTTGTTGTAGTTGTGTTATGAGCTTAACAAGTTACTGTATTTACATGTGTTTGTCTTCATTATGTTATGCGTATCATTTTCTAGTTATGGACATTACAAGAGTGTTGTTTGTATCCAGTCAAGTTAAGATACATATTAACTTTATACATTTGTATTCATTTTAAACAAACAATGATGATTTTTTCAGATTCTATTTAGTATGGCATATTTGTTGTATTCATTAGATCATAATAATTATTGTATCTGTCTGGTGTGGATTATAAGTTACATTATGGTATAAATTTGTATTTACGTTATGTGGTTTCTAAGATACAATGTAGTTCAATAAACTGAAAACAAATAACAAATAAATAAACGAAAATACAGTACAATTTTCGTAAAAAATTGTACCCACTCCAATTTGTTTTTCGTAGGGATAAAATTTGATTCGAAAAATTAAAAACAAACAGCCAATGAAAAAAACATGTCTTCAAACAATCCATTATTATTTTCGTATTCAACAAGCAAAAAAATTCAACTAATCCACCAAAACTAATTATTCATACATTGTTCATAATACATACAATTTACAATGAAAATAAATACAATTTACAATTATGTAAAAAAATTCATATCAAAATTATAATCAATTAGAAACATATTAAGGATGAAGCAATTAACTAAATTACATGGTCCAATTTGTATTCCACTAATTTTATCGAACTTCCAGCAGAAAAATCCTTCTCCAAAGCTGCTTTGTCAACAATTTTTTTTGTCCTATTTCGTTCAAATCTATCTTACCAAACAGAAAAAATAGATTTTAATCAAAATAAAATGATCAGAGATTGAGTCTTTTCAATTGAATCTTGAATATCGATAATGAGAAAATTGATCAACAATAGGGTCGCCGATGAAGTATTCAGTTTTGATTTTTGTAACTGATGACTTTTAAGGGATTGTTCCTTTTTAAAATTATTCTCTCCCCTAAATTTCTCATATTTGTTATTTAACAATTGTAATCTTTCAATTAAAATAATTAGTAAAAACTTAAATACGATACATAATAAACTATTTTTTGACATTTTTACTAAATATTGAAAGTGTTGACAATGAATCCTATTAAATGTTAAAATATTGATATTTTGAATAATTTCCTCCTCTCAAGTTAATATATTAATTACTTGCAGACCTCAACTTTGACAATTTAATTATTGGAGAATTGACACGTTAATTTTCTAGCTTTTAACATAAAATTTTCTTTTATTTTATAATTGTTTTCTTTTCAATAATGAGCAATATGCAAATTGATAATATTATAGGCTTGGTGGACTAAATTGACCTTCAATATCATAGAAGTAGCACCTGTTACATATCCCAACACCAACTCTAAGGAAGGTAAATTGTAGGGTGTAAAAAATTGAATCGAAAATCGAATTAAATAGCAAATCGAGTCAAACCGGAAAAAAAACACGACTACTGGTTTGGTTTGACTTGGTTTGGTATTGGAAAAAAAACCTGACTATACTTGGGTTGGTTTGGTTTTGACTAAAAAAAGTCAACCCGAGACTAAATCAACCCGACATTATACACATATAATATTTCAAATTTATTTTATATATAAAAGTATTACTTTGATGTAATTTCTAAATATTACTTATACGTTTTCATAATTTTTATCTTTTAACATATTTTTTCAAATTTTTTGAGACTTAAATTTTTTGAATGATCCAATAAGGTTATAGTTCATAGGTATTAGTAACTCTAATAAAGCTCAATTTGAAATCAAATCAATACTAATGGCTAACAAAATAAATTAATTCAACACTAAGAATGACAATAATGTTGAATATTTGTTCTGTAGCGTTTTACATTGGTTTAGTACATTTAAAATTACATAATCTAATTAATTTTTCTTTAATGTTTAATCATGTAATTAATACTTATTAGACTTATTTTAGTCATGATTTAGTACTTTTAAATTATAATCATTTTCATTATGACTTATCAATTTGCAATATTTATTTTATATGAATTCATTATTATTTTTTATTTGAATATTTTAGTGTCATCACTCATTCTCATATTGTGTTATTTTCTTAAGAAACACCTTAGATAGTTGTATTTTGGTTGGACTAAAGAAATATTTGGAGCACAAGTGTATGAATACTTACCGGAAAGATCCAAAAACTTGAAAAAAAATCCGAGGGTTATTAGTTTGGTTTGATTTACAAATTTGACACAAATGGTTTGGTTTGGTGTTTCAAAAACCCGAACCAACTCGAGGTTGAAGAACTCGAAAAAACCCAAATTTTATTAGTTTGGTTTGGGTTATAAATTTAAAATTTTTATACAAATGGTTTGGTTTGATATTTGAAAAACGCGAACCAATCCGATTGTGTACAACCCTAGTACTTTGAGAAAATCTATAGTTAATAAAAAGCGCGATGGATTGGCTTAAAAAAGTAGCCTTTAAGTCAAAAATAAAAAGTCAAACTGAAATGACTTTTAAGTCAAAAAATAAAATGTAGGGGGATACCTACTTTTGGTTTTTGACTTATTTTAAGTAATTTTAAATTTATTTTAAGTCAATCTTGACTTTGCCAAACACTTCTCAACTTATTTTAAGTCATTTTTCAATTATTTTAAGTTATTTTTTTATATTTACCAAACACTTCCAGAACTCAAAAACTGACTTAAAAGTAGGTTTGACCAACTTTTAAGCCAATCCAAACACCCTCGATAAATTATCTCTTCATTTTCTAAATCTACAAGTACAAATGGAATTATACATTATTTATCTTAAGATTAAAAAATTCCTTTTGTTGCGGAGGTAATTTTGCTACATTATAACCAAGTTCAATTACTACAAATTTCATTCTACAATATCAGTATAAACAAATTAAAAGAGACATAAAACGTATTATTCAAACATAGTTGTTGATCAAATATCTTCTTTTCATCAATATTTTGTTTAATAGATTTTTCGTCGTGAGACTCGTTATGGTCATGGCCATTAATTGATTAATATTGAATTAACGTACCATATAAATAATGATTAATGAATAAGCCAATAATAAATTAGACCAATGGGAAGTATCCACTCTATTCATTAATGAACTAATAAAGACATTTATCATCAATCATAGCCATTGGTTACCCTCATTATAACTAAATTATTTGCATGTTGTTTATTTTTAACGTTGACATGATATTTTTTTGGTAGATATAGTCCCCGTTGAGTTGTTATTCGTCTTTCTATATTTTGACTGTTTCTCCAAATTTGGAGCGGGTACTTGCTTATAATATTACTAATGGAAAAAGGGTCAGAAATATCCTTATTATGTAAAATTGAATAATAATATCTTAGTTAATAGTTTTTTAAAAAAAATATTTTTTTTCTTTATCTTTACCGATTGAAGTAGGATAAGCATTTTTGTAACTAAAAAAATATAATCATTAGGAAAATGAATGTATTCAAAAAGAAAAGAAATAATATATTAATTAAAAAATAACATTTTTGACTCATTAAATAACAATAGAAATATTTTTGGACCAAACTATTAATGCCAATACTATTTTTAAACCAAACTATCAATTGAGTACATTTTTGTTCAAACAATATCACATATAGTTGATAGTAAATACTTCGTAATTAATACGGTTTATTTGCCAAGTCAATATTGATATTTGATAGTTTTTTAATTATAATACCGACGACCCACTCAAATTTGTAATAATTGATTATCAATTTCTATGTCCGAACTTTTCATGCATGTAATATTTCAACGTACTAGAAAATTAAAAATTGTCTTGTTAGAAATTGTCAAAAGTGTAGCTCATTCTTGTGGGAGTTGCTAAACCTACAACCATTGTCGTGTTACTACATTATTTTTTACCTATAAATACAGCCTTCATTTCACTCTCATCATCACAAACTCATAAACACAACAAACAAGTGTACAACTTCATAGAGTACTCTCTATAAAAAAAAATGGCTTCAAGTTATAGCTTGGTGTTTCTTCATGTGTTAGTCATGTTTTGTCTAGCAAACATCGCTTTTTCGGATTTATCAGATGATTTCTACGATGATATTTGTCCCCAAGCTTTACCAACCATTAGAAGGGTTGTTGAGGATGCAGTCAGCCAAGAGAGGCGAATGGGTGCCTCTTTGCTACGATTACATTTTCATGATTGTTTCGTTAACGTGAGTTTAATTTCTTTCTCTCCTACCTAGTTAATGTTTGGTAAAATTGCTTGAGATGTTGTTACTAATTATTATTGTAATAAATGCAGGGTTGTGACGCTTCAATTCTTCTTGATCAAACGGCTACTATTGACAGTGAAAAGACTGCTCGTCCTAATAACAATTCTGCTAGAGGATTTGAAGTGATCGATAGAATTAAATC